AAACCAACACCTTAACGTTGAATTTCTACAGGTTGATCTAAATGCGTAATAGTACCAAGGTTATCATTCAACCAATCGAATCAATGCATTTCGTAATAAATAATTTAGAAAAACGTATACAAAGGTTAATTCCCTTAATATTTTCGCAAGTAACTATGTATTAATCAAAATTAATCATGAAGATTAATTAAATTTATAGTTAGCAATTTATTCATTTATTTCAAATGGCAGGCGTTATGATAGGTATCATTAGCCCTTTAGTTGACTTCGTGCTTCAGAGAAAGGAAGAGGAACACCAAAGTGGCAAAAAGTCGAGAGGGGGGACAGAATAATGATTCACAGACGTAAAAGAGACAGACAGATACAAAGGTAGGAAAAAGGTGGGCACTGTGGAATTAGTAGAACATGAAATGCGGTGGGGTCTTGGTAGTTTGAATTCAAAAGTCAACTGCCGATCAATAGACCTTTTTGCCTTATGAGTATACTTTGCCCAGGGTGCACCACGTGGAGGTTAGTCTATCACACACCCCTAGTTTACAATTTCATCCAGTGTAAACTAAATTACATGCTCTTTAATGCTTGGTAAGCAAACAAATTCCAAACGGATATAGCACGCATGCTCAAATACCACCACCCACCCAAATATTTTAGAGTTCAGAAGTCGTGCATAAAATTTTTAAAAAAAGCTCGGAATAGTGCATCAAAATATTTCCAAAAATTGTTTTTATTCATGTGTATCCATATTCTTTAAGTGCGTGAAACCACATAGGTTTTGAGTAAAATGACTTAATCAAAAGTGAGCTAATGATAAATATCATAAAGCCTGCCATTTGAAAAAAAGCTTTATCAAAAATAACACCAGAGCGAATTATCACCATCATTGCATTATTGGAGTTCCTCTAGAACTACAGTTCTAAAATACAATCTGTATACAATTACTTTCCCACAGGCCCAATACATCGATATTTTTTGCCACAGCTGCTATCGGTCAAAGGTCACCAATATTCATTAAGCTAAAATAAATTAACTTTTAGTTACAATCTTTAAGCCTGTTAAATTTCATTGCATACATTTCTAACAGGCTTACATTTAGTTGAAACGCCACCAACTTGATCATTAATAATTAAAGATCTAATAAATTAACTTATTGAAGATCAATATTACGAAATCGGTGAACTAAGTTCAAACTACTTATCGTGTTTTTTTCTTGAAAAAACATATCATATACCTCAGGAATGTCCACTTCCAATANTTCAAATGGCAGGCGTTATGATAGGTATCATTAGCCCTTTAGTTGACTTCGTGCTTCAGAGAAAGGAAGAGGAACACCAAAGTGGCAAAAAGTCGAGAGGGGGGACAGAATAATGATTCACAGACGTAAAAGAGACAGACAGATACAAAGGTAGGAAAAAGGTGGGCACTGTGGAATTAGTAGAACATGAAATGCGGTGGGGTCTTGGTAGTTTGAATTCAAAAGTCAACTGCCGATCAATAGACCTTTTTGCCTTATGAGTATACTTTGCCCAGGGTGCACCACGTGGAGGTTAGTCTATCACACACCCCTAGTTTACAATTTCATCCAGTGTAAACTAAATTACATGCTCTTTAATGCTTGGTAAGCAAACAAATTCCAAACGGATATAGCACGCATGCTCAAATACCACCACCCACCCAAATATTTTAGAGTTCAGAAGTCGTGCATAAAATTTTTAAAAAAAGCTCGGAATAGTGCATCAAAATATTTCCAAAAATTGTTTTTATTCATGTGTATCCATATTCTTTAAGTGCGTGAAACCACATAGGTTTTGAGTAAAATGACTTAATCAAAAGTGAGCTAATGATAAATATCATAAAGCCTGCCATTTGAAAAAAAGCTTTATCAAAAATAACACCAGAGCGAATTATCACCATCATTGCATTATTGGAGTTCCTCTAGAACTACAGTTCTAAAATACAATCTGTATACAATTACTTTCCCACAGGCCCAATACATCGATATTTTTTGCCACAGCTGCTATCGGTCAAAGGTCACCAATATTCATTAAGCTAAAATAAATTAACTTTTAGTTACAATCTTTAAGCCTGTTAAATTTCATTGCATACATTTCTAACAGGCTTACATTTAGTTGAAACGCCACCAACTTGATCATTAATAATTAAAGATCTAATAAATTAACTTATTGAAGATCAATATTACGAAATCGGTGAACTAAGTTCAAACTACTTATCGTGTTTTTTTCTTGAAAAAACATATCATATACCTCAGGAATGTCCACTTCCAATATAAAATATGATAAAATTTTAACTTAGATATGGGTAATGATTAAAAGGATGGTCTTTTATAATCATTTAAATTTAGAGAAGGGAATTGCAAGGAACACAGTGAAAATATTACAGATTTATTTATTTATATCAAATGGCAGGCATTTTGATAGCTATCATTAGCCCTTTAATTGACTTCAGGCTTCACAGAGAAGAAGGAACATCAAAGTGAAAAAAATTCGAAAGCGGGAGGGGGNGGCAATCTTCCATTGGTTAGGTACGAGACTGGTCTCCCAGATTTTGTTGAAAAGCGTCAGCATGGTTTCCTTGGCTTTTGACCTCATTCTAATTAGAAATTCCGGATGAATACGGTCTTCAACAGGAGAATTTTTTGCGCTTTAGCTGTTTTATTGCAGCATTAAGTTCGCAAGGTCTGAATGGTTAAGTAAGTACAATATTTGGCATTGTTGTGTCTTCTTTAATTTCACCAAAATGTCTTACTTGTAACTTTTTATCTCTTGAATATTTTCTGGCAAAAGGGTTTTTCTTTTGCTTGTGGGAATAGAACCTCGCAAAGTAGTTAGCTATTTTGGAGTCGGTGGTGAGCAGTTTGTTGTTTAAACGCATTGGTTCTTTCTTGGGTCCTTACCTGTTGTTTTGGAGGTTGCCCAGTAATTTGAAAGTGCGTTGGCTATCACTTTGGTAGTTAGTATTTGAGATGAAGATGTCAAATGAAGTACCTTTAGCTTGTAAGATGGCTTGCCTTAGGACAGCTGACTGCTGTCTCCAGGCTTGTACGTCTACCATTCTTCCAGTCTGATTAGCAGTGTTGCGAAGGTCGTCTCGCTTTCTTTTCAGTTCCTCAAGGTGTTCATACCAAAACACTCGATAGTGTTTAGTCTTGCCATTGAGATCATAATAATCGTAATTTCGTTTCAAAGTTTTCCATCTGATCATAATATTCGTGATATCATTGAAAAGTTTGTGAGGATGTTGGTTGAAGTTGAGGGGACTTGAATGAAGTTCAGTCGATGTTGTTTGAAGTTGAGGGGACTTGTGTGAAGTTCATTCTTTAAAATGTTTGTGAATCTAGACTAGTCGACTTACTTGAAGTTCCATGAGAGCTTAGTTAGCACTTTCGTTGTCATGCTTTTGCTGCCGATGATAATACTAGCAATTACTGATATTTTCCAAGAACCAGGGTCGTCAATTATTTTGCTGTGCATATGCTCGTTGATGTCGCTTGAAGCCAGGAGTAATTCAGGAGTTGTTCTGGTTCCATTGTAGTGCAAAAATTGTGGCATGATCCTCATTGCTATAAATAATTTCTAACAGGTTGCTGTTTAGCATGTCTTCGACTTCCTTTCCAGCTATGTTTGTATTCATATAGCCCACAGTTTTGTGTGAGATGTTCAGAAGATTTATAACAAATGGCAGGTGTTTTGATAGTTATCATTAGCCCCTTAGTTGACTTCGGGCTTCACAGAGAGGAGGAGGGGAAACATCAAAGTGAGAAGAATTCAGGAGGGGAATAGAAGGGTGTTTCAAAGATGTAAAAGAAACTGACACAAAGGCTCAGAAAGGGTAAAATGAGTAGTGGTAGGGGTCGAATATGACATACAGTGGGGGTGATGGTTGTTTGAAGTGAGAAGTCAACTGTTGATCAATAGACTTTTTTGCCGCATGAGTTGGGAATATTCCATAGTGGATCATAGACTGCGTATATCTTGAAGTGGCTTAGACAGTTTCAAATATTTTATCTGATTTTTTCACATATATCTTGTGTTGAGCCCATACTCTTGATTTGATCGTAATGGGATTTGTGGCTTTCTTTTACTTCAGTCAGAATTCCACTTGCAACTTGCCGGTATTTAGGCAGAAGGTNATGGGTAATGATTAAAAGGATGGTCTTTTATAATCATTTAAATTTAGAGAAGGGAATTGCAAGGAACACAGTGAAAATATTACAGATTTATTTATTTATATCAAATGGCAGGCATTTTGATAGCTATCATTAGCCCTTTAATTGACTTCAGGCTTCACAGAGAAGAAGGAACATCAAAGTGAAAAAAATTCGAAAGCGGGAGGGGGGGGGGAACAGAAGAGTATTTCAAAGATGTAAAAGAGACAGGCACAAAGGTAGAGTGAAAAAGGTGAGGTGAGTACTGTGGAAGTAGTCGAATATGACATAGAGTGGGGTGATGGTAGTTTGAAGTGAGAAGTCAAAATGCCGAGTGATAGACTTTTGCCATATGAGTATACGTTGCCCAGGTTGTTTAGTCATTGACATAAGAACACATCATTACGTCCACCAATAACAGTCATAATAATGTAAACCAGGAAACGGTGATATTAAAATGCTTGAAATATTCAGCTCCTTTGCCACAAAGGACTCATGAAGAGGCAGTGAACGGAAAAAAATTTTACGTTTGTTTAGGTGTTCTTCAAAAAATGACAAGATTCATGCCCCTATTCAATACTAAATGACAAATGACAAGTTCTATAAAAGCACAACAGTAGATACCTACAAACGACAATGCTTGTACAATAAAATGAAAGAGAAGGAATAACGAAACAATATCGTAATAAGAAAAAACAGTCTAAAAAACTGTATGCCTCGACTACTGAACCCAATAATCAGGCACAACAATTCTATATTAGGTGGTCCTAAAGAGGGCCGTAGTATCATGTTAAACTAGTGGTTTCTAACCACTCTTTATCATGACCAGAGGAACAGTTTAAGCCTTCGCACCACGAATGCGGCGAGCAAGCTGCATATCCTTGGGCATGATAGTGACTCGCTTTGCGTGAATGGCCCATAGGTTGGTGTCTTCGAATAGACCAATCATATAGGCTCCAGCTGCCTCTTGTATAGCGGCTACTGGAGTGGTCTGGAAACGCAAGTCATTCTGATACTCTTGAGCAATCTGATGCACAAGATGTTAAAAAGAGACCTTTCGGATAAGAAGCTCAGTACTCTTCTGATAACGCCAAATTTCCCGAAGAGCGACAGTTCCAGGCCTGAAGCGATATGGCTTTTCCACACCACCTGTTGATGGGGCGCTCATGAGAGCGGCCTTCATAGCCAGCAGCTTTCGAGGTGCCTTGGCCCCTATGCTTTTACGAGCAGTCTGCTTAGTTCGAGCCATCACTGGTGAAACGATAACCAACACTCCTTTGACAAGGAGTTCCCTTTTTTAATTCCTAAGCAACTGAGGTCATGCATTGACTTTATGATTTAGATTGGTTATTGCTTGTTTTTAAGTAACTTATTGGCAGAGAGAATTAATGTTCTTGCATGATTGTATGCATGCTCGTGACAGCAATCTCATCAATCGTATGCGTTTATCTCACATTAATTTGATTTATATTTTCAAGAATATTTAACTCATCTATCCATACTGTTTACTACATTTTCACTTTATGATGAAAATCACTAATATTATTTTCTTTTTTCCACGAAGTTTAAATATGTCTAATAAAACAGTTACGAAGGTAGATGGCTATTTTATTTGATTTCGTTTCTCTAACTGTGGGACACGTTATCGCTATGTGCGTCATCGTATGCCTGCATGTCTGCTCGCCAGGATTGGGAGGTGCGGCCGTACAACTCTGTGTGCAGCGACCGTACAAACAGTGACCAATCATTAACCTCTGTTTAACCTAATCCCCAATCCTGATCATGAGTAGCTTCATGCGTGTACACTTTATCCGTAATATACCCACTGAATAAACGTGCTCCATGCCGCACGCCTGTTTCCTTTATAGCTGGGCTATAGCTTAGCTGGTTCTGGGAGTCTAGCTAGATGTAGGAGGATCAGCCATAGAGATTTCTGAGTCAGTCGGGCTTTACTAAGGCAGCGATCCGCTACAAACTTCAATACTTTATAACTTCTATCACATGGCAAACCATCTTCCTGTTTAAAATAGTATTTAAATTTGAAGTTTTCACTTGGAGATTTTATATACTTGTTTGAAATATTGTTCGCAAATTTCCCCCAAAAGTACAGGGTTCGTTTAAAAAGGTAACAAATTTACATATACATTTCGACTGAGAAATATTATTATTTACAATTCTTTAATTTTCTGTTTAACGAAATCTACTAAAATCTTACTAATTTGTACTGATTTCATTACGTTTCGCACTTTCTACCTTTTAAATTTATTTACTTAAGTATATTCCCGTCTGCTTTCTACTGCGCACACTACACTCTCAATTGATCCAACTCTCCTCTACTGGAGAATTTCAGCATGTCATAATGACGTAACTATTTAACTCTTCCAAAACACAACTGGTTAATGTCATTCACTTCCGCTAAAATACGTGAATTCAATGTGAATAAGCTGACGCCACTTTAGTGAAATTTAAGTTTTGGATGACAATAATAGCATGTGTGCGTGTGTATTTGTGTGTGTGTGAGTCAGTTTTAAGCCAAAAAATATGCAAGAAACCAGAGATACGAATTATTGTAAGTGTGA